AAGTCTGGGGGAAGCAGAAGAAATGTCATCAGAAAAATGCAGCGTTCATTACAGGCAGTGGGTGGAGATGTTCTACTGGGAAGATGTCTCTTGAAAGCATATGTGCTTGCATCTCAGCAAAATTGTTTGTTAATGTGGAAAAGTAGTTGAAGAGATGTGTAAAATCTGAAACTCCAGGAACTTTTTGTTTTCTTCTTTAATGACCTAGGATCTTTGTTTTGTCAGCTGATGAAGTGAACTTAAGCTTTGCATAGCTCTTTACAAATAAGCCAACTAAATGTTCCACTGAAAATCCAAATTTGCCAGTTATCACAGGCAGGAGTCTGAAACATACTTGTCATGGTCTCAAGATTTACCCACAAAAGGATCCCAGTTCTTATCAGTTGAAAGTCAAGGCATAAGCAGGAACTTGTCACAGATATGATCGTTTTTTGAAGAAGAAAGAATACCTCAATACAGGCTATCTAGACACAATGTAAGGCTAAAGAAAAAAAATCTGTGTAATCCAAGCAGTGCATAATTATTTACCCTCTGGTATTATGTGCATCTTGGCATCTGCAAGTTTTTATTGCTAAATGAAGCAAGTTGCCCAGAATTATTGTGTAAGCTAAATGAAAATACTAACAAAATACTAACACACTTAGATGTATTGATATGATGCTACCAAAAATACAAAAGGTACCAATGCTTTCTCTTTAATTGTGAATGTTATCCTGTGTCCATTTTTATACTACCTTTTAACAGCATTCCCCTCTCCTCCATCTCTTCCTGTATGACTGAATAGTATTATGTACAACACAGTTCATATAAAGTATCTATTCAAATTTTAAATGCCTCCTTCACCCTTAGAAGTAATTCCTTAATTTTCTGAAATAACCCATAACTCCTCAAAATTTGGGAAATCTGCACTGAGTTCCCTGTTCAGGCAATCCAGTTTTTATCCTGAGGGACATTATATACAGATGTCTCTGAAGCCCTGCAGCGTCTCAGGCAGTTTGGATGCATCATTTCTTAACTTCATTTCACCCAGGCACTGTGTGCTACTTTGACAGACATCCAATTCTTGCAGATGTACTTTTGAGGATAGGAAGACCTCATGGATTTTTCCAATCCCACTACTTCAAGACTGGATTCTTATTTTCACTGGAATTGGTTTGTCAGAGCAGGCAGCAGACAGCAAAATGAAGAACACTGATCATTTTTTCCCCTTGTCACTTACTCTGAAAGTAATGCCTCCTATTTATTTCCTTGAAAACTATGACAGATACAAAGAGCAAAATAAAACTATTTGATAGAGCACATTCTCAGCTACAAAGTACTATTTTTAAACATAAACACCATTAGCAATGCATTTTCACCAACAATGATCTGCATGCTGCACTCATAAAAATATGCATAGCTGTCCAGAACATGGCTTGTCTTTCACATTGCTGTTGCCACTGCTGAAACACACCACCCACACCTCACTGTCCTCGCATCCCATGTTTGGCCTCCATAAGTGTTGTGAAGTATCAATGAAAGTCAGCGAATGCAGTTTTTTTCCTGATGGAGGAATTCAGTTCCTCACCTTTGCTTTATATACACTTCATGTCAGACTCCATTCGGTCAGTCTGCCCCTCTGCTGCCATACCACTAAGATCTGCCTCTCGGCCAATGTAATAAAATACGAGGCATTGCTTTCAGACCAGCCTTTCTACATACATAGAGGACAGTGGTGTTGCTCTTGGAATGTAACAGAGTAATCAAAAGATGTTTACTACTCATAGTCAAAACAAGAGAAGAGGTGAATGGACCTTTTCCCTCTTTAAATTAGAAGAATACCAATGTAAATCTGCAAAAAAAGTTTTCTTTTTCCAAGTCACACTTGGAGAACATAGTCCACACAGATCATTCAGAGATGGCATATAGAAATTATGCTAATAAAAATACTTGACAGGTGAGCCAGATACGTCTCTGTGACATATAAATAAAATAGTTCGTAAGTGTTGTTTTGCAGCAGTAGTAGAAGTTTCTCTGAGAGTGGAAGGAAAAAGCGGGTAAACATGTAGAGAACAGCAGCACTACAGGAGGAAAAAATGGGCTTCTGGAGAGATCCATTGGAAGGAAATCTGTGGTTCCCTGGTAAATCAGTAACCAAGAAGATGAGATCTGGATGTTCTGGGGAGTGTCAAGAATATTAGGAGACCCAAATCTTGATGAGGTGCATATAAAAGTTAAATCTACCAATCCTGATCTTGCCAACTAAACCCACACATTTTCTGAGAAGATGTGTCCTGTATGACTCCAGTTCCATAGCAAAATCTCCTTTCAGAGATTGCTGTGGGAGTATCATTAATTGGAGGTAACACAGTAATCTAAAGTAGTCTAAAGTTCTCAGTATATTTATTGCAGTGTACAAAAAATATCTTTTTATGATGTTTCTTCTCAAAATTATGAGTGTCTGTATATATACTCGTATGCATGTATCTGTATATGTTTATATGTGTTTAAATCAGCAATGTAGGCAATTCTCGGTATCTTTTATTTGGTAATATACAATTTTTCAGTAGGTCTTTATCTCAAGAGTCATAAAAATACTGTGCAAATGCAGTTCTTTCAAATTTCTCATATACCAAAGTTCTTTCCTTTCACATGAGTTATTGGCTTTGTGCTCATTTTTCCCTCATTTTTCTTGATCAAAGTCTGCTAGTGTCTTTTTCATTCTGGAGACCTAACTGTTGTGTGCTTTTAAATATGATATATTTCCTAAAATACTTCTAGGAAAGATGGAGTCTTAATATACTATAGGTGTCTAGTAAGGTATAAGCTGCTTAAGAGAGAAGTGCATATTCTCCAGTGCATCATTTTACAACATCTTCTGACTGCCTTCACTTATTGAACCTAGAACTTATTACTACTGTAACAGAAGCATCAGAACAGAGTACATTTTTTTGCCTAATTAGCCCAGTTCTGAGTCCAAAATAGTTGTTAGGTCAACAATGAAGCTAATTTTGTGTAAAGACTTTAGACCGAGAATTGGAGAAGAGAATGCAGAAGTGGACATTCTTTTCTGCTGGCTGTGCTATAAGGGTTGGTAATCTCCAGCAGAAGAGACGGATGGACAGTAGCAACTTCAGATGCCATAGCTTAATTATCCAGAAAGTATCTGCCAGAGCATGTGCTCATATAAAGCATTTATTTGGTGCATCAATCAATCTATTAGTTTTCCCAGTGTGTCATGATACTTATATTCATATAACCCAGAATCACTTGAGATATTTTCTTCTCCCATATGGCAATAAATGCCATGTTTTCTTTCCGTTGTCACTCATATCTCTTTCAGCTGTGCAGTTTTCCAAATATCTCCCCCTCTCTGCTGAATCACTTAAAACTGCTTCTCAACATGTACAGTCCAGTTTTTTGCATGCTGCAAAACTCTGTGCTTGAGGAGTCAAGAATCAGGGCACAGTGAGGGGTGGCTCTTTGTGAACGCACTGCAAGCCAAGACCCCAGCAAGACAGCAAGACAGGCATGGAGTGGCAGCAAGACAGCCTGGAGTCCAGATCACTGGTCAGGTCCTTGGAGATGATGTCAGGCTGGGACATGACCCCAAGATCTGGGAGCCAAAGCTCCGAGAACAAGGCTGCTCTTACAGTGTGCACATGAAATGTGCAGTTACCCATTTATGGAAGTTCATGCTGGATATGGCCTTTGAAATAACAAAAGTGAACAATCATTGTGGTATTGATGAAATCTGGGAGAGAATAGCAATTGCTGTAGAAGCCTACTGTTTATCTTTGAATCTGCACAGAAGAAGTTCAGTGTTGCATGTGATTTCCTGTACTGAATGACAGGTGTTCTTTCAGGCACAATCCTTGCAGACCAGCACACTCTGACTCCAGTTATGGCACAGCTGGGCAGTGTTTACAGTTCAGTGGAACAGATGTGGGCAAAGTTAATTTTTTAGGTACTGTATGCCATCTGCAGTAATGGCAAGAGGGAAGCTGATGTAGACATCAAGAACTTGCCCCCATTCATCTTTGCACCATTTTAATTGTCAGTCTAAAGTGATGTACTTACTTGGTATCTAAGCAGTAATCTACAGTGATATCTGAGTTGGAGCAATTTTCTTGCTGTGCTGCCTTGCTAATGGAGATGTACTCCCTGCATACAGGGATCACACAAACCATTACTGAGTGTCTTCCTTCAGTACACCAAATGACAAAGCAGCCCTGTAAGGGAGGTGTTTGTTCTTTCACAGTAGTTTGGGAGTAGAGATAATGATGAAGACACGCAAGGGTTCCTCTTTTCCATCTGCCTTAAAAGATTGGCTTCATACAGTCAATTTCTGTTTGTTGAGATAAATATGTTACAAAAAACTTAGGTAAATTATAACATTTATTCCAAATGAGAAAAAATTTGATACCCTGGATGGAAGTTGTAGTTGTGATTATACCAGCTTATCTCCAAATCCACATTTAGCATGTTTTGTCCAGATTGTAAACACATCAGTGATAACAAACAGTGCACAGAAGCAGAGAATCGATTTTGTTCATTTTTTTTGGAAACCAGCAGCTATAAAAACCCATCATACTTATTTAAGAAGTTGCTAAATATGTATGTTATTTTTAAACTTTGAAGTCCCTGTAAATCCAAGGATGTTTTATCTGGGAGTTCTCTCTTTCTAAGCAAATATAACAAGGTTTCTTCATTCTATAGGATATCATTATTTCCTCTTCTGTGAATTCTTTTGTTAAATTAGGAAAGCCTTGCAAAAAAAGTCTCATATAATGATAGTGTGTAAAAAATGTAAAATATCTTTTTAAAAAAAAAAGAATGACTTTTTCATTGTTTTACTGCTATTAGCAAATGCATTTCAAAATCAAAATAACTTGTTAGAATCCACATCTTTACACTGCTACTGAAATTGTGTTTTGATTTCTTTGACATGATCCCTGATTGCTGTGAGAAGAATCAGTTCAGTATTTTTGTTCTTAGATTCCCCCTCCTTTGTCTTGCAGCTACTTGTGGCAGATTCCATTAACAATTGCAGTAGGAAATACGAGCCACATCTCATCAGAGGCAATTATATGGGTGTCTAACAAATCAGGTAAAGCTAAACTTTCCTCCCAGTGGAATCTCATAAAGCATACTTGTGTTTTCCTCAACTGTTTCTTTGGAATTGATCCTAGATAATTGTTTAGTTGCTCTGCACCCACTTTCAGCTACCTGAAATGAATTACTAAGGAAGTATTGGGAAGGGAGAGAGGAGGAATGAAGGATAAGCAGCAAGCAAGTTTTATATTATCACAGAAATTAGACAGTATAGTGAAAAGTTTTTATATAGTACTGTGTACTTCAGTGCTAAATATTTTGTATTTAGCAATACATATCAAATTATTGATGAATGCAATTCAATTTATTGATTTGTGAAAGTTAAATGTAATATTCTTGTAGCAAAGTATCTGATAAGTATGGCATAGTAAATGCAAAGCATTTACCTTTCTGTCATTTTGTAACTCCAATCGTGGTCTGAACCAGGCCTAAGAAATATTTACTGTCACTAAAACATTTTCATATTGATCTGCCAAAATATTTTGTATGCTTATTAAATAACCAGATGTGGGACCTTGAAATTGCATTCAGCTTACAGCTTATTCTCTCCCTTCTCAATTCTTACGTGATCATAATAGCTACTGTCCTGAGAACAGCTAGGGCTGGATATCAGTGTTTTTTTTGTCATCTGAAAAAAGGAATCCCACTGTAAAAATTTCATGACGTATTTATTTCCTTAGTAGTTCATAGTAATCAGCTGACAGTTTTGGACTGGTGTTGAAGTGAATGAGGAAACAAATGTGGAGACTTAAGTAAAATGAGTGTAAGGGTGGGAAAAGAAATAGCCATATGTCCCCAATGAATTATAAAGGGTGAACTTACCCCTTCTTGTAAAATTAAAAGGCTGTAAAGCCTTCCCTCCAACAGATATTTAACTGGAACGAGGAATGTGTCAAACCTGTGTGTGTCTGTGCTTTTCCTTTTTCTCTTTTATAAGTCACCAAAAGGTAGTAGTCACATAGTGCTTAGCAACAAGAAGAAGCAGAGATGAATGGTGTAAGATTAGTAAAAATCTGAATAAACCAACTTTCTAGTGGTATCAAGTATGTGCTCCTCTGCCCTGATCATTTGCAGCCCATTAGAATGTAGCATGTTGATGTAATGGTCTCAAAATGTGCCTGGGACCAGGGTGCTTTTCTTAACTGGGAAACATACTCTAGTTAAAGTGTAATAAGGTGCTGTCCTGCTTTGCAGAAGTATGTTGCATTGGCTGTATTTCTTTGTGTGAACACCTTTGGAATACTTGAAAATCTCTTTGATCTTTCACAGTCTGCCTCAATGACCTGCTCCATTCTTGTCCTTTAGGACTTAACTGAACTCACTTGAAGTTAATAGAAAGATTCCCATTGACTTCAGAGAGGGTTGATCTTCTCAACTCATCTCATTAGATCATACTCCTGGTCCCTCCTTGATGCCTCTTTCCCTTCACTCCTGCCTTGAAAGTTCAGTATATCACTATTATCTGCACAGTTGCCTTTTGCTTGCAGAGTGCTGTGAAGGAACAAGATAATAAAACCTCTACCCACTCTTTTAAGATCTACTTACTCCTACTGGAGTGTGTTCAAGAAATAAACAATTTGTGATGGCCAGTGTGAGCAATCATTTTGGTATGGCTGCTATATAGAAATCAAAGAGGAACTTTTCTAAGTCATCAGTTTCCAATGTAGCAGGTCAATGTCATTGTGATCTGTTGCCATTATCCATGTTCTTAGTCATTACTTTCTCACTTACTTGCTGCATCTCATTAAAATGAGACTGTAAGCTGATGAGTATAGCAAGGATGTACTTCTCTTGCTTATATTTGTTGTTGTCTAGTTCACTTGAAGGGTTTCTCAACATTAAAATTATAAGTAAGTATGTCTCTACATCTGCTCAGTATCTGATTCATTGTGTATGCTACTATATGCTGGGAAAGCTATAGATTCTTTTGTTGCACTCCTGGAGATTTCTGCAGCTTGTATGTTTCTTTCGTGAGGATCTGGAGGAGACTGTGAGACTGGAAAGGGCAGTTATCAGGACTGATTTGTTTGGGAAGGAATATTCCTGTAGAATTTCTGTTACGTTGAGCGTACGTGTTTTTGTATTATTCCAAAGAGCAGCCAAAGAATAGCCATTCAAGTGGAACAAAGCATTCCAGAGAGCATTTGGAAGATTGGAATCAATCACAGTGCTCTTCAAGTGAGTGTAATTGAATACAGACACTCAGATCAAATTTATCAGACCTTGTTCAAGATCCAGTATTGTAAGAGAAATAAAACAGTCCTTTGACACTGAAGTTTAAAGTGGAAATTATAATTGTTATGAACTTGTGCTCTGTCATAGATCCAGGACCTGTTTCTGTTTCCTCTAAGTATGTGCCCTTTTTCCTATTCTCTGTGATGATGTACAGAAGGTAAAAAATCAAGAATCAGCTTTCATCTTGTCTCCACAAGACAAATGTATCACAGGGCTTGAGGGAAGATTCAGGCCATCCTCTTGAAAGAGTACTTAGTGTGAAAGAACAGTTCTACTCATTACATTTCTGCATATCCAAGAGAAGCATAGACATGTCTTAAGTAAGGAGGCTTAGCTAGTATCCATTTCAATTAGGAAAGCCAAGCTGTGGACTAAGGCATACTTGCTGTTTCCTAGGCATGAGTTTCTGGCAGTCAGGTTCCAGCTAGGAAATAAGACTTGGGAGATGCTGCTGACTGAAGTTTCCATTCTCACCTCCTGTACCTTGACTCATTTGTAATGTCCGAGGGAGGCAGTTCTCTGATGGACCTCTCTGCCTCTGGTAAAATTAGTCATTCAGACGCCTCTGATTATCTGTGCAGGATTGCCAGGAGATGGAGGAAAGAATTTTCTGCAGGACAATTACCTTCCCATCAGCAAGTATCAACTTACCTACAGTACTGGCACAATTTTGACAAGATGAGGAAAAACTTAATCCCTTTGTCCCAACTTTTATTCCTTTATCACATGGAAGATCCTAACAGGAAACTGCTGCTTACACTTGTGTTACATCACCTTAGGTGTTAGCTGTTCCAGTAGGTAGGAATGTTAAATTATGGTAGGGTAGTCTGCAGTAAGACTATGTGAAACAGAACATGATTGTATTTGCTGATATGATCAAGTTACTATAGAGTTCGCTATACTGTTTTTTTCAATGTGGAACTAAGGCAACATGGCAAGTGAGATGGAAAGCATATTTTGTTCTGGTTTGCCTTTTCTGAGTATGAAAAGTTGAATTCTCTATGAATCTCTGTATGAATTCTGCAAAAAGTTTTGCAGATTTTAGTTAATATCAGTATCTTTACACAAAGAAAACAAAAACAAAAACAAAAAAACAATGTTATTGTGATGAAATTCCTTATGGAACATTTTCTCAGAAAATTTTCACTTGCTGTTCTTGGCATGAAATTGTGTTATTCTTCTGTAGTTATTTTTACGAGAAAATGGAGTCTGTTCCATCAATAGTGATTCTACCAAGCCAATTTCCCAGTGTGCTAAGAGTTGTATAAAATGAAAAGTTAAAAGAAAATAACAACTGTGAGTCTAAACACTTGAAGTGGTAGTGTTTAGCCCACGCTCTTGTCAGCACGGGAGAAATTTCTTGCAGAAGGGTGCCCTTCACCCAGAGCTGCCTCGTGTTGCTGTTTGGAGGAGCAGGCTTCCATCATGCCTGCTTGTTTTAGTGGAGTGGAAGTTGTTGGAGGGCTGTGAGAACTCGAACTCCAAGCCACTTGAAGTTAGCACCAGCTGGAGGATTGCCTCACACTTCCAGAGCAGAGAAAATGAGAATCAAACCCTAACTGATTTTCTTTTTTTAACTTCAAAAAGAAATGTTATAAAAATTAACTCTTTCCATCTCAATATTTCATGTATATATGAGGCAAAACTGAAAGTTTCAGAGCAGTGCTGTTTTCTGAGGTATCCACGCAAAACATGGCAATGGGAAAACACTTTTTGAGGAAGAAGATTAAAACCAAATCCCTTTAAACTGATATACTGTATATATATTCCAGATTTAATTTTAAAAGGCGAACTAAAGCCATCAAAGATAGATTTCTTCCCAAATGAAATCTTTGTCACTGTTTAGGAAGTGATGAATGGTTTAATTTAGGGTTTAATGCTGAATGACCACCTTTTCCCTAACTGTGATACTTTAAATGGGAAACAAATGTGTTTGTGATAAATGGAGAAATTGCCCAGGTGGATAGAAGTTTTCTGTGCCTTAATAACCTAAAGAAAGATTTTTTTTTTAATAAGAAGGCATGAGGATTGGCAGATTCAAACATCAAATTCCAGTAAATTATATAGAACTATAAGAACCACATGCCGACTGCAGTCCCTTAAAATAACCACCTGCTTACATGAACTAGAAAGGCATGAATGATTTCTGTTCCATATTTCAGGAGGAGGTCAACACTTGAGTGGTCTTATCAAAAAATAATAGCAAGTGGTAACGGTTGGATTTAAACTGACCAAAATAACAATAATGCCATCAGGCTTTGAAATGATACCATTCTCCATTAAAGCTCTATGTGTTGGAGGAGTTCCTCAGCTGTTATTTACAAGATAGGTTTTTTTTTAAGTTTTCTTGTTTGACTGACAAGTATCGTTCAGTACTGTATTAAAGTAAAAGTGATTTCCTCACTACAGAGTGCACAACAATGCACATACTGAAATGAGAAAAAATACAAGTATGTGTTTCATCTGATCTTGAAAATTTCTATTCATTGTTTTTTGGTTTTCTTTTTACCCAGAATGGATTACTGTGTGCCCATTGCTGTTTTGATAGGTTTTTAGGTGTCAGAGAAGTGCTGGGATCATCCAGTTACAAGTAGCTCTTTCCAGCTACGGTGGCATTTAAAGGCTAGTTTGCAATAGAAAAACATGGACAGAAAGCAGCACAACATTAGCACAGGATGAATTTCTGCCATGTAAAAACAGTTTCCTCTTGACTCTACAAGACAGTACATCCCTGAAGACCTAGGGATATTCTAAAAGTTTTTGTTTCCCTCAGCAGCCTCTCCAAGATAAAGAAGTGGGTATTTTTGCTGTTGCTTTTAAGAAATCCAATAGTTTGATTCAAGACATAGCTGAGATTTAACAGTGATAGACTTTATTCACAGCACCATTCTGGGTATAATAAATAGGATAGGGGTAGATCCAGATTCAAATTCCTTTTTCTCTCTCTGTTTTATAGCAGTTGTATGAGCCAAATCCTCTATAAGGAAGTGCTCTTAGCACTGTGGTGTAAATCGTTACTATTTTTATTTTTTATTTGTCTACATGTGTTTTTCTTTGTATAAAATAATTGAATCTTATGCAATCAAACCAGGAACCAGGATTTGAGTCTTTTGTGAGGAGGCTAGATGTGAACAGCTGGTGATTATGATTTCAGGTTCAGTATTCAGTGTACTTAAGTAGAACAACCTCAGTTGAACAGTCTTAGAGAGTTTTTTTTTTAGAACTGAGCTGCAGCCCAGTGTTTAACAAACCTCTGTGGAAGAGAAGGCACCTGATGTTAAATCCTCTCCCAAATCAGGTTGTGGCAGTAGCAGCTTAGTATTTATACACTGGGTATGCTGGAAGCCGGGAGTCTGCAGGGCACAGGTTGTAAATTGTGAGCTGGAGAGCTATATATGTACAGTTTAGATGCCCTGTTACTCCTGGAAGGCTAGAGCTTGGCATACCCCGATAATGAGTTCTTACAGATCCTCCTACAGTTTAGTTACCCTGTACCTGCTAGTCTTAGCTAGCTATGTCTCTCCACCTAACGCTGGGCTTGCCTTTTTCAAGGCTGGTCTATAAGCAACCTGGGCTAGTGGGAGGTGGTATAAGGATTGAAAGTAGATGAGATTTAACCCAACCCAAGCCATTCTATGACTTAGTTCTGTTTGTTTTTTTCAACTACTCTTATTTCAGCATATGAAGACTATGTTGGTACTTTATCTAAGGTAACTAAGTGGATAAAGTAAATATCTTAACTAAATAAAAGAATGTTTATTTTTTTTCTCAATCATTTGCATAATTAGACTGAGCTAGTGCAAATCAGTTAGACAAACCCTAAAAGAACAGTAACAAATTAAATTGAATAGGCAACAACTGAGTTTTCTAGGTATAATATTTCAAAGCAGGGTATTTTGAAGAAATATTAATGATGTTAGGACCACCTAGATGAGAAGAAGACTTCCATTTTTAATCCCTCAGCCTTTACTCTGAATTCACATGTGAAAAACTGCTCCATGAATTTAAGGATAAACAGATTATTTGGTGTGTTTAGAATTGGATCTCATTGCTTTCTGCATTTTTTTGCACCTTTATACCATAGCTGTTTCTTTTCGATGCTGTTATTTAGCCAAGAGAGAACCATAACTTTTATCTGTAGTTCTAATCATCTATTATTTCCTCAGAAATTACTTTTTTTTTTTTTTCCAAGAAAGGCTGTAAACAATTTCATTTCTTTAGTAGGTCTAGGTATGAGATAGTGTATTTGAATTGTTAAGACTATATTGCAAGCTTGTCTTTTTTCATTTGTTACTTTCAAAGAATTGAAGCATTCAAAACAATTTCCTTTTGGAATTACATTTGAAACAAATTTGGCTTTTTGTTTTTTGTTTTGTTTGTTTGTGTGTTTTTGCTTGCTTTTGAAATTCATGAGAAGACCATTCCTTTTGTCAGAAGCATGCATACTAGTTTTATTGGTACTAGTACTTGGTATTAGTGGTACTAACAGAAATGGGAGGGTGGTTGGACTAGATGATCTTGCAGGTTGTTTCCAACCTTGTGATTCTGTGTGTGATTCTGTGTGATTCTGTATTATAGCAGAAAAAAGGTGTTGCTGAATTTTTCGAGCTGTTTCATAATCAGTTATATCAGATTAATGTACTGAATTGAGAGATTATTCAAGAGACATAGATGTCTGACACTTCAGCCCATGATGATTCGTCCTGTAGTGAAAGAAGCATGTGATGTGATTTCAGCGTATTTTTGTTGTGGGCATCCTTCGTCATAGTGCAAATAGTGCAAATAGTGCAAATAGTGCAAATAGTGCAAATAGTGCAAATAGTGATGGACTGGCTACATTCTTGCTTGTAAAAGTACTGGGATATATGCTTTCAGTCCCTAGGTGATTACTTAAAAAGAGGGGAAAGATGAAGAGCAGGTTAATAAATGCAAGGTTAATTGGTATAGTTCTAGAAGAGAGCCTCTCAGTGATTAGTTAGCTAGAAACTACACAACTGGAAAATCCAATAACAAAAGTGTCATTGACTACATGCAGAAAGAGTTAAGGGTTTTTTTTTGTTTTTGTTTTTGTTTTGAATCACAGGTTTAATCTCTTGATGTAGCAAATCCATTGAATGACTAGAACTGTATAAAGTATTGTAGCATGGCTAGCATCAGGTACCAGATTTAAATGGGCATGTCTTTGATAAATATTAGTAGCCAGAAAAAGGAGCCCTTGCAGATTTTTGTGGGGATCTCTGTAGGAGCCTCAACTACTGTCTCTATATGAGTACAGATAAAAAAAAATGATTAACCCCAATGATTTTGTTAGTTTTATCTTACTAGCTTAGTAAATTTGTCTTCCTAACTTATGAGTATTTAAAAAAGGACAGAATTTAACAAATACATCTTTAGAATTTTTAAAGATAAAACTAAGTCCCATTCCCATGTTCTTCTCTCTTTCCAGAACACCACAGAATTCCTGCTTTGGAAGAGGCAAGTTGGTTGCTGGGGAACATCAACCAGACTGGCTACTTCAGAGTTAATTATGATATTAGGAATTGGAGGCTGCTGATTAATCAGCTGACAAGGAACCATGAGGTAAGCTCTTCTTCTCAACCCTAAAACCTGCTTTGATATGTGAACTTTCATTACTTTATCACCCTAAATGGTTCCATTTTTCTGGTTGCTCCTCATAGGTTATCTCTGTCAGCGATCGAGCAGGCTTGATAGATGATGCATTCAATCTAGCCAGGTATGTTTGCTTGCAGATGATCTATCTTCATACACAAGTCATGCAATCACTAACTCAGCAGTAGAGTGTGTTTTGAAGTTAAATATGTCTTAAATGCACTTTTTTTTTTTTTTTTTTTTTTTGTGTGTGTGTGTGTGTGTGTGTGTGTGTGTGTGTGTAGTGCATAAATGTGGTCTCTAGCACATTCACTGCTCTTGATCAATAATTGCTGTAGGGTATTTTCCAGTCTGGAGAGGTCTGATCAATTTTGCACCTAGTTCAATTTAACACTTTGGAAGTAAATAATCACCTTCCACTTTCTCAGATGTACAAGGAATGAATTCTTTTTTTTCTTCTTTTTCTCCCTAAAACTCCCTCCCTCCTTCTCCTTGTTCTTTTTTTTTCTTCTTATAAGTGACCCTTTTGCTATATTTTATTTGTGTTGGAAAGCACCTTCAAGCTCCAGGAGTTTTTTTTTTTGCTCTGACTTACGGTGTTATATCATTTTTCCAATATCTTTCTTTTCTTGTAATCTGTTAAAAGAGACTATTTTTCTGTATTATGTTTTTCACTTGGAATAGAAAGTTTGAGTTTTGTTGATTGTTTCTGGAATTTATACAGCTTTTTTGTGTTTTAGTATGACTAGAGTTATGTAAATTAACGCACTCAGTGCTGGTTAATGCTTTCTTTATGAACTGAGACAATTGGATCATCCTCGTTTTGAACTCAAAATGTTCAGTACATTGGTAGTCAAAGTGAAAAATGAGAGAAAAGTAGAGCAACTTTTCAAACTTTGAGATTTTAGAGATTCCTGGGAACACTGCATCAATGAAACGCTGTGATGTCAAAGTCTGTGTGAGAAGAATTCCTGATATGACTGGATTTTATGTTTACCCAATGTATTTATAGCTTGAAAGCATTGGCAGGATGGAGGTACATTTCAGTAGAAATGGTCATCAGAAATTTTTGAGATTCAGGCACAATGTCACACAAATTATGGCTGTGTTGTTCCAGCTTCTTTGCAGTAAAGAATAGCTGTGTACCCTATCACTCAATTCTTGCAGCCAGTCTAACCCATACACATCACATAAACTAGTATTAGCCCTTATTTAACAGTCCAACAATGTAGCAGAGAAGAAGGCATCGCAGGGAGAAGATGAGCACCCTTTTTGTTCTTGCACTGCTCTTCATTCTTGTCTTCTAGCTTCTTCATGAATGCTGCATGATTAGAAGTAGGTTGCCATTTCAGTTTTTCAGTGGACTGTGACCCATGTACTCCTTGGCCAGAAGAATACTACAGAATGTTCCAAAATACGTAAACTACTGCAAAAACTGATGTGTGCTTAGCAATGTAACAGTCTCTTCCAGTTTTTTTCATTTGTTTTTTATTTTTTAATTTTTGACTTTTTGGCACCTCTGAGCTGGTTTTTATCTAATAAAGCTGAAGTAATTTATGGTTGTACGGAATCAGTGTGTGGCTTTTCTCTTTTTCCATGAACTGAATGCATTCAGACGTGATTTTACTTTACTGAAAATCTAAGCACTGAAAAAAGCCTGTTTCTGAAGCTGATTCTTGTAGGTTGTGGTTTTTCTTCATCCTGAGCCAATGCTCTAGAATGTCATCTTCATGAAACATAAGGACAAGGTCTTGATTAATGTTGCAACCTGCATAATCTGGCCGAATTTTCCTACCTAAAAAACACCCAGACATAGACAAGAAGCTCATTCCCAACCTGCTTTCCAAAGCATGTTGATGATAATACTGGATCAAGGTGTTTTTTCTACAAGTAGTTTTGTGAGAACACTGTGAGTTTGTTCACAAGATTTTGTGTTGTAAAATCTTAACATTTTGTTTTTAATGTTGAGCTGCAGTGGTCATCTACTGCATTTGCTAATCATGCACAATGGAAAAAATATCAGTTGTGCTAAATATTTGCACTGTATACTCATATGTATCTGTACTTAAGTGGTAATGCTCTTTTAACAGGGACACACATATAGATTCCTGCTTCTTTGAAATTTTTTGACAGACTCATGTCACTAATGCTACTTTGAATATACAACTCACAAGCCAGTCTTGCTGTGACAGAATTGGCTGAAATAGAGATGTAGAGATGCGCATGTTTGCAACTAGTAAATTTATAGGCAGTATTCAAAGGGTAGCAATAAGTTACATAGACCTGGCTAAACTTGGCATGTAGGCTTTACTGTTAATCTTTTCTTGCTTCATTTATCTATCACTTTTCTAAAGAAAAAAAAATCCACAATTGATTATAGTCATGCTTAAAATACTCTTACTGGCTAGCTGGCTGTCTGGTATAGCTTTGTAAGAAGACTTTGGTATTTTTTGTTCTCATTTCCCCTCTCTGAGACAAATAAAGACCAGGGACAGACCTACTCCTTGCCTTATCGTGAGCAGGACTAGTGAGGCACTGAGAGAGTTAGGAGTGTTTTGGGACAGGCCTACATAGCTGAGCACCTCTGGGAATATGAAAGCATGTGTGGAAGTTCTTGTGGGGGCAAGTGGTGGGGACTTGCACACTGCGCTACAGTACAATGCAGTGGTCTTGCTGTTTCAGATGCTCAGCAGTGTTCCAAAACAAGCTCTGAGGACTATCTAGATGACACTGACGTTCTCAGTTTTCTCAAAAGTCCATGTTCAGAAGGCCATCATTAGCCTAAGAGCAGCCTAGCTTTTACTCTTGGCTGCAAGGGACTCTGCAGAAAGTTGCTTTGCTTTTTATCAGAGCAGAGCCATGCTTTGGATGTTACCTGCCTTGTGGATGCAGCACTGATTCAATCTAATGTCTGATGCACAGACTGTGTTTCTCCCTCTCCATATAATGTTATGTGATAAGGAGATTAAACACAGACAATTGTCTTTGACTGCAACATGTGAAAAGGTGAGTAACCTTATTGACCAAGCACAGAGGTAGTAATTGGTAGTTCAGACCTGACTTTGGGGAAAACTGCTGTTTTTAAGGCTAATTCTGTCCTCTGATGTAGTCCCTGGTGGTACAGATATATTATCTTCTTGTCTACCTCTATGAACATAGACATTTTGAGTGAGGACACAGCTCTGAAACATATACTTTTATATTAATCCCTAGATATTATTTTCTATGATAAAATAATATATAAATGAAAACATAACTTCTTAAATCTGTGCATGTTCCTTTTAAAACAATTTCCAATGCAAGCAGCTTTTTTACTGTATTAAATACTGTATTTCTTTAAAATGCCCTGTACTTAGAGATTTCTGAAGTACCCCCTAGTGTGCTGTTGAACTTGATAATGTCCTCTCCACAGCAGAAAGATTCAACTCTAATTTTCCAGTGTCCTAGTATGATAAGTCATAATGTGGTATTTCTATATACTATTAATGCAAACTGATTTTGTTTCTGAAACATGTACATGTCTTATTGTTAGGAAAACATTGAGATCTGAAGAAAGCTGAAAAATATCATTTATTTTGAGCACATATTTAAATTCTTTTTTTCAGAAGAAGTGTTTGATTTTATTGCTCCAAAATGTTTATCCTTTTATTGTCCAGTATAATGATTTCTCAAAAATAAGTATAAATGAATTGATAACTTCAAGGAATATTTTAAGCTCTATAAATTTAACTTCCTAAACCTTTGCGCATTTTCTATGTAAATATATTCCTTCTTCTTTGTGTATTTTGGTTCCATAAAATCAATCAAGCAGAATTGAACTGAATAATAACAATAAAGGAAAGCTACAGCTTGCCCACTGTGTTTGAATTCTCACAAACTTGTTTGTTTTTTTGAAATTTTTAAGCATTATTTTGTTCTCAGCTGTAGTGCATATGTGCACCCTGAGGATCTCAAGTGCTGTAGCTTTGGCGGTAACATCACTTAGGGAAATATATGCCCAAAATTCTTGAGCTGGAACAGAACCTTAGTGCTCTGTCTTTCCATCTCATTGATGATCCTTATTGGCTGTTATTTATCAAGGAAAAATATCGGCCTTATTTATCAAGGAAACGGCTGGAAACTGCAGCATAGGAAGTTCCACACAAATGTGCGCAAGAACTTCTTTACAGTGAGGTGACGGAGCACTGGAACAGGCTGCCCAGGGAGGTGGTGGAGTCTCCTTCTCTGGAGATGTTCAAGACCTGCCTGGATGCCTACCTGTGCGACCTGCTGTAGGGAACCTGCATTGGCAGGGGGGTTGGACTTGATGATCTCTGGAGGTCTCTTCCAACCCCTACAGTTCTGTGATTCTGTGATCTTTTTAGAATGCTTTTTTGTGAGATTTCAGAACAATTTGAAATAATGCTGATAGTATTAAATGAGCTGGATGTGTTGATAATAGACTGAGATAGACAAGAGAAGACAAATGGAACTGTGTATTTCCTCTGAGCTTTGATTGAACAAAGGTAGTATAACAGGAAGAAAGAGTTGCTTGAGAGTGTGAATAATGCTGTCAGGTTGTTCATTCTTTCTCTTTCCTTGGAGTAGGGTATTGGTGAATATGTGAGATGGGATGCTTCTCACTTTACTTTAGACATCCCAAAGGTAGACCTGTAAATCTGAGCTCATCATCCTGGACTGCACTGACAGATAATGGAGAGAAATGTGCACTTGACTTCTTGAAGCCACTTAATACAGACCTAAATAAATTACCCTCCTGATGTCCACAGCATTGTGCCACCTCTAGTTCTTATTTGCAGAGCCCTAAAGTTTCATATTCACTTCCACTCATTAAGCTGGTTGAATTAATCCATTGTTATGTCAAAGAAAAATATCTGGTTTTATTCATTGCTAATCAGTGTTTAATCAGATGATCAGATGTGAATGTGGATACCTATTTTACTCTCAATTAAAATATTGTTCCTTCCTGTTTGGAAGAAGCCACCTGTATTTCTCTTGAAACCCAAAATGTATCTAATACCCCTCTTTCCTGCTTTCACTTACAGTCATGTTAAAGTGATAGGTGCTTGGCTTGCAGGACAGTTTCTCAGGAATGAGCTTCTGATACTGACAGTCTGCCTTACT